GAAGTTTAAATGAGCAGGAGTGCGAAATTTTTGATAACTTTCCAGAACTCAAGGATAAAGTTCAAGGAGAATCATCTTTTTTAATTATATATATTGGTGGTTATGTTCAAAGAAAAAAAGGCTAGGATCAAACTGATACACAATTTTATTATAAAAAACGTGGTGCCTACATTGGTGACTTGAATAGAGGAGGTCTTGTTATTTCCTTTGACAATATTGTTCAATGGTGCATATTTTGTTTTATTTTATTTGAGCAGTTATCAGATGAATTTTGTCAAACATTTTTGATGAAGCAATTCTTATCTGTATCGAACAAGTTTCATTTTGGTATTTATAATCGACATTGTCGCACTTTAGCAAATATATTTCTTAAAAATCTAGCAAAAATAAAATCTCCAAGATGCTCGAAGGAGTCCAGGCAAAAAGTTTTAAAACCATCATGAAAATGAGTTTCTATTTAAATTTTATTACAAGAAGTATATTATAGTTTACTTTTTTTGTAGTTTTACTTTTTAAGACAGCTCTTATATATTGTTGTAATAGTTTTTTGCTCTCCTTGTTCGCATCTGCTTTACTTATTAGCGCTTTGCTTGGCCTCCAGTCAATAAAAATTTTGGTGCATTGTCAAGGCCTGTATTTCTAGAAGGCCATGGTTTTAATCCAATTGATTTCAAATAACTAATATAGGAAAAACTTTGTTTGCTAATTTTACTAATTTACTTATTTGGTGTAAAAATTATTAAAAGTTTTGGAAAAAAATTTCATAAACTTGCTATATACTTACATAAATTTTTATTGCTACATTCATTAAAATTTTATTCTCTAAAGGTTAGCTATTTTAAAGCAATACCTTTATAACCAATTAATTATTAACCATATCGTAATAAAAATTAAAAAAGTTAAAAGCAAAATTTTGCCAACCTGACATCAGCTACACTTTAGTACTACACTTTTATGCCGATCTGACATCTTTTACTCCCAGTACTCATATTACCACACATAAATCAAATTAGGACCATTTTATACCTGAATATTGTCATCAATAATTGTCAATAAACAATGTACCCAATTAAAAGTTATGAAAAAAAAATATGTACATAAAGCTGGTTTGAAATAAAGGCTTTTAATCAAAAAAGAGTTTAAAAATTTGACATAATTCGTTAAGTAACAAGTTAAGTTTCTATGTCTAATTTTTTAAAATAATAGTTTTAAATTATATGAATGTTTGAGTTTTATGTGGTATACTGTATTATGATAGTACGAGAGTGCACTGTGGTGTACTGAATGCATAAGCATGCTGTAGTATGTGGTAGTAATATAAATGCATAATATGCAAATAAATAAACCTTAATCAAAAGGACTCAATTTGAAATAGAAGTTATTTATAAGAAACTATTTATAAGTTAAAGCTTTTAAAAGTTATATTAATTTTTTTACTGATTTAAGTCATTAAGCAATTTGGAAGTCCCAGCGCAACCGAATCTTCCGCTATTCTGCACACCTATTGATGAAGTTGATATTAGCATTGAACTCTGTGGATTAAAGTTTCCAAATCCGTTTGGATTAGCATCAGCTCCACCCACAACAAGCTCAGCTATGATGAGGCGTGCATTTGAAGCTGGATGGGGATTTCAATTAACAAAAACCTTTGTATTAGATAAGGTTAGTTTTTTTTTAACTTAAATTTTGATTCTATATAAATAGTTAGCTGTGTTACCTTAATTACCTTAATTAACCAGCAAACTGGCCTACCTTACCTTAATTAAATTAATTAACCAGCACCAGATGTTGGTAAGTTTATGCCAGTATTATTTGGTCTACTTTTGAGTGGTTGGTGGTTTCATTTCAATAAATAAAGAGTTAGTTTCTTTACCTCGTAATAATTTCTTGACATTTGAATTTTGAAAGTCACTTTTTTTTTTTTTAGGTTTTCAGTTGAAGTATTTTTTATTCAAGTTTTTTGTTATAATATAGAAACTGTTTAAAAGAAATCAAAAACTGCATCTTTTTATATTTTTTAACTATTTGTCAAAAAATGTAAAACTTTCAAAAAATGACGGAAATCTTTTATATGGTTTTACCTTTTGATCACCCACATATATTCATTCAGCAAATATATTTATTCACTAAAATATATTTATTCAGCAAATAAATCAAAGAAAGAATAACAGTTATTAACTTGCTGAAAATAATATTACTAGCATATTTATTTCTCCTAACTTAATGTAGTCTGGTGGTCTCATTGTTGGTGGTCTGGTTGTCTGCTACCTGTACTCATTGGATTGAAAACTTTTTAAAAACAGCTCAAAAAACAATGAATTACCTTTAAAAAAGGTAATTCATTGTTTTTTGAACTGTTTTTAAATTTAATTTTCAATTTTTATCCTCCAACTGAATTTCAAGCATTCAGTTGGAGGATAGAGTGTTATTTCATGTATTGGCCCACTCAATCATAAGTATTTTATCACAATAAAATACTTTACTAGGTTTAAATAAAAGGTTAATTTACTAGGTATAAAATATTTTGGGTTTTGCTTATTAAAAGTTTAGATTGTATCCTAATTTAAGGTAGTGAAAAATTGCACTTGCAGGTAGTTTAAGAATGATGTTTATGAGTTTGAAATCAGAGGCTAAGGTAAACTTTAATTGATTCAGTTGAAGTTGGAAAAGTGTTATCTGATTTTCCTCATCATTTCAAACAAGTGTATATTTGCTTTTTCTTATAAAAGTGTGATGTGATAAAATGCTGATACATTTTAGAGTTAAAAATAAGTATATATATATATATATATATATATATATATATATATATATATATATATATAATATATATATATATATATATATATAACCTATATTTTCTAGTTAAAAAATAATAAATTTAAAAAAAAAAGAATCTTTAGGATAAAAAAAGAACTTAAAAAATGAAGAAATAAATTGGAATTAAAAAAAAAAGCTTTAGATTTGGCAATTGTTGGTCAGGATAAAAAGTTACGGTTCTCTTAAAATTTTTAACTCTCTTAAAAGAGTACAATTCTCCTAATAGTTACAACTTTCTTAAAAGAATACAAAATAATTTCTAACAGAATCATGAAAAGCTAAATAAAGTTATGGGAAAACCTAGAGATATTGATTAAAGTAAATTTACAAATATGTAAATAGCCAACTACAGATCACAACTTTCGATTAGAGCATTGCATGATAAAAATGGAATAGTAACAAATGAAAATCAGATAGTAAATCTACTTAATAATAGTCTTACAAAGGCAAAATTTACTAAAAAAATTTAGTAAATTTTAAAAGTTTTATATTAAAAGAAAGTATTAATTGTTGAATAAAATATATTCAAAGTGTATTAAAAGTATTTGATCACTGACTATTCTTTTATACAACTTGAGATAAAGTTTATTTAAAGTCTATTTAATGCACATGTAATGAGAAAAGTTTTAATGACACCAGATTATAGCTTATAAATCATAGAATTAACATTTAATACTGTTTAACATCTGATGAAGCAACTATATACGCCAGACAAAAAGTCATCACTTTTTGATTACTTAGAAAAGGCAGCTAATCTTGAATCTTATCTTGCTTTTGTGATAGGTTAGTACTTGCAGTGGCTGGTGATTTTTAAAATAGTTTTAATGACAACAGATTATAATGTATAAATTGTAGAAAAAAACTTTCAAAATAAAAATATTTTCTAAATTTGCAATATAAAAAAAGATAACAGGTTTTAGAAATGGATAAAATAGCAGTAAAAAAATTAAATTTTAAAAAAAGTTTAGTTCTTAACAGATTAAAACTTTTAAATAGCAAGTTGATCTTGTTAAACTGAAAAAAGTTTTGCATATGGTATATCTTTACCCCTCGGATATATATTTACAGCATCCGTTGAGCCTACTGAACCATAAATTCAGTGGAAATCAGCTAATATTAATCCTCAGTTTAAAAAAGGAAGTTAACTAACTCTTATTCCTGGTAAAAAAGAATGGCTGTAAGAAAGAATGGCTGTAAGAAAGAATGGCTGTAAAAGTTTAACTTTGAGAGTTGTTTAATTATGCACTTTAGTCCAAACAAACCAAAAATAATTTATTTATGGAAAATATACCTTTGAATTTGAACTGTCACTGAAAAATATTTTTGTAGTACTTAACTCTGACTTGAAATGAAAACAATTAATCTATGTCCAATTAAAGCATATAAAGTTTTAAGCATAATAAAAAATACATTTCTATGTTTCAACATAAAGAATACATTTTTATGTTTACTAAATACATTTCTATGTTTCAACAATACAATTCAACAAAATACATTTCTGTTTTAACAATAAAGAATACATTTCTATGTTTTAACAGTGAGTTACTAAAAACTATATGCACAACTTTTGTTAGACTGTTAATTAAACTTTCTGTATCTGAGTAGTGTCTTTATTAGTTATAAAATATTAGGTTCTTAATAAAGAAATTAATATTTTAGTTCAGCATAGTGCTGGTTGATATTAATACAGCATAGTGCTGGTTGATATTGCCACTATAAGAATTGTTAGGAGAAAAGGTTAGTTGAGCTTCACTACTTTTGTTGTAATACAGATTAAAGGACTTAATTCAAATGGACAAGATACTCAATGGAATTGAAAATTTAATTTTAACTAAGGAGGTTTTTGCAAGATGTTTTCAATCAGAAAGAGCTTATCAAATGAAATATATTTGTGAAGTAACTCATATTTTGCCTAGACATTGTTTTTTAACAAACAGAACATCTTTTTATTGAAATCAACTAATGTTGTTAATGCAGTTAATACTCTTTTAAAGCTGAATTTGAAAAATGGATTTTAAATAGTGTGATTATATTAAATAATAATATAGCTAAGTGTACTTTGTACACTTATCTGTTACATCTTAAATATATATATTACTATATTACTGATTAAATAAAAACTATATTACTAATTTAATTATATCATGATAAATAAATATATAAAACACATATTTTTATCAAAATATTAATTTTAAATATATACAATTGAAAAATCTGTAAAAATAAAAGTTGAAAAAGAAAATTTAAAAAAAAAGAAGAAATTTGCTACAGAATGTCTTTTTAAGTATTACATTTATGCAAACATTATTTACATAAAAGCCAATTAAAAATGAAAAGCAAAGGAAAAAATAAATTTACATAAATTTATTTTTTCCTTTTTCTATTTCTAGAATAAACATAAAATAAATTATAAACTGAAATTAAAATTAACCAAAATCAGTTAATTTTTTCAACTTGTTTTACTTTAAATATTTTAATTTAACTTCATTTTTTAATTTCACTTTATTAGGACTATGTGATTAATGTCTCTCCACGCATTGTTCGAGGAAGTACTTCAGGGCACCAATATGGACCAGGCCAAAGCTCTTTTTTGAATATTGAATTAATTAGTGAGAAATCAGCAGCTTACTGGTGTAAATCAATATCTGAATTGGTTAAAGACTTTCCAAATCAGGTGAGTTTGAGTGTGAGTGAAAATATTATGTGAACTAAAAAATACAATTTTTTTATACTTAGATTCAGTATATATTTATCTTAGTAAAATAAACATCTTAGTATCTCTTTGAGCATAGATTTTAATTGCAAGTATTATGTGTGGCTATAACCAAGAAGACTGGACAGAGTTAGCAAAAATGTCTGAAGTTGCAGGAGCACCAGCACTTGAATTAAATTTATCGTGCCCTCATGGAATGGGTGAAAAAGGAATGGGTTTAGCATGCGGTCAGAATGCAGAGTTAGTTTATAATATTTGCAAATGGGTCAGAGCTGCAGTAAAAATTCCTTTTTTTGCAAAATTAACCCCAAATGTCACTGATATTGTAGAAATAGCTCTTGCTGCTAAAAATGGTATGTAACTTTAAAGTTGTTTGAATTGAAAAAATATTATTAAATAAGTTACGAAAAAACAAAATTAAAAATAGTTTTAGTCGATTTATATTAAAATTGGTTGAAAATCTACAACATAATAAAACCTTTCACATTAATGTTTAAAATCCTTTCAGATGATGCTAGCCAATAATATTGCAGGATGTAGTCAAGATATTTTTTAAAAATTGTTTTTTTAACATTTGTTATCAAATATTTTTATTGGCCATTTTATGCAATATATATAATTGCATGATATGGTTGTATGAATAATTTAATTGCAGGTGTTTTACTTTTATTAAATTTTTTCAAGGTGGAGCTGATGGTGTCACGGCAACAAATACTGTTTCTGGATTGATGCACTTAAAATCAAATGCTGTTCCATGGCCAGCTGTTGGTCAAGAGAAACGAACTACATATGGTGGTGTTTCTGGGAATTCAATCCGTCCTATTGCTCTTCGTGCTGTATCTGCAATTGCTTCGGCTCTTCCGGGTTTTCCTATTTTGGCAACTGGAGGTATAGATTCAGCCGAGGTGGGATTGCAATTTATACATGCAGGAGCAAGTGTAGTGCAGGTCAAATTTTAATCCTAAACTTTCCGCATAGTGAGTGCTAATTTGTGTACTCTTATTGTAATTTGAAATGCTAAAATATGAGTTTAGATATGCAGTGCAGTACAGAATCAAGATTACACGGTTATTGATGATTATGTCAGCGGTTTAAAGTGTCTTTTATACATGAGTTCGTGTGACGAGTTTGCTAGTTGGAATGGCCAGAGCGAACCAACAGTCAGACAGCAAAAAGGAAAACCAATTGCGAAAGTTGCTGACGTTGTAGGGAAAGTTCATTATTTTTTAAACAATTTTCTTATAAATATGTATAAATATTGAAAATGTATAAATATTAAAAGTTGAAGTTATTTAAAAAAAATGAAAATAAATAATATACAAAATCACATAAAGATAAGAAACAAAAATGCATTACTTAATTAAAAGCTTTTTTAAATATATATTTTTACTTCTGTTAACTATATTTGTGTAAATAAGTTAATAAACAGTATTTAAATAATGCTCGATGTGCATCTTAATTTTATTTAACCAATAAAGTATTTGGGAATTTATTTAGCATGATTCTCATAAAGATTTTTTTTTAAGAGTCTACCTCATTTCGGAGAATATAAACGCAAAAGAGAAATTGCAATTGCCAACAGTATCAAAGAGTCGAATATATTGAGAGAAGAACTGTTTCCGATGAAAGTACGACCGGCTATTGCGCCAAAAAACAAAATTGCATCTGTCAAGGTATCCTATTTTTGTCTAATGTTTTATTAAATTTCTATTTTTAAAAAGTTCTTCCTTGACAACAATCCGGAAGTTCGGAATTAAACTTCATTCACTTTAACTGAACGTTTTATTATAAATATTTAAACGGTATTCAAATCATTCTTCGAAAAAAAGTTTTATAATAAACTTGTCACGTTTACTTGAACGAAAATTTTTTAAGGTTTCAACGTTTAGAATATAAATATGCATAACGTTTTTGATTTATATAAATATACTTATGTAAATTGTTGAAGTATTTATGGAAAGATTTCAAATTTTGTTTTGTGCTACCGTTTTTTTAACAACATGGCTTCTTAGTGCTTACGAGATTTTAAAGTATTTTATTCGCTACCATCCATATATTTGAGTTTGTTGTTTCTGTTGCGTCAGTATTTAGAAAAAAACTTTTTTTTTATTTATTTGGGAAAAAAATTTAAAAAACAAAAACAACCAGCACCATCGTTTTTGATTTTGTTGCTTCAATTAAATTTGCGAAATAAATAAATTAATTTTACCCATAAAAATTAGTAAAATTATTTAAGCAAAGGTTTGTGTATGTCTTCACTTTTTTTTAAACGTATTTGCATGAGAACTGTTAAATAGTATTTATCTGCGCCACTTTTTTTAGTATAACTTTGAATTGTTTAGGATATGGTTGGTCTTGCGCTAAATTACATTGGGAAATACAACGATCTCTCAAATAAGCAGCAGGTTGTGGCTGTTGTAGATGATGAGATGTGCATCAACTGTGGTAAGTGTTATATGGCGTGCAACGACTCCGGTTACCAAGCTATAACATTTGATCCTTATACTCATTTGCCACACGTGACTAATGATTGTACTGGCTGTACGTTATGCGTTAGTGTCTGTCCTATTATAGGTATGTTTTTTTTACGACCTATTTAAAAAAAAATGGTTTGATTTTCTTTACTTATTTTCAAAGGTTAAATCATTATTCTCCTTCAATTTATTTTTTTCTTCAGATTGCATAACAATGGTTGAACGGCAGACACCTTATATTCCTAGTCGTGGTATTCCTTTATCAATCAAAGTATAATAGTGGTTATTTTAGGTTGTTTTGTTATGGTTGTTTATGATTTTTTATATGCTTTTTTTTTTTAAATCTTTTTTATGCTTTATTATTGTACTTTTTCTTTTTTTTTAAATTTGTTAAATTTTTTCTAGTAAATTTTTTCCGGTTAGAATTACGAAGACCGGAATCAGAATAAGATTCTCCATAAATAATTTGCTCTGTGAAAATAATTTGATAAAGTAATAGCTACATGCAGCAGCGTCCACACAATTCTGTAAATCATAAAGTAAAATCTTGGATTTATTGGGTTTTAGATGTTTGATACAGAAATGTCTAATATGTATGTAAGTGTGTGTGTGTGTGTGTATATATATATATATATATATATATATATATATATATATATATATATATATATATATATATATATATATATATATATATATATATATATATATATATATATATATATATATATATATATATATATATATATATATATATATATATATATCTGTGTGTGTGTGTGTGTGTGTGTGTGTGTGTGTGTGTGTGTGTGTGTGTGTGTGTGTGTGTGTGTGTGTGTGTGTGTGTGTGTGTGTGTGTGTGTGTGTGTGTGTGTGTGTGAAAGAAACGTGGACGCTTCTGGTTATGTCAACTGAATAAAATATAAATAGCAAATTTAATTTTAATACTAAAATTTTTACAACGTCGTTTTTTAAGTCCTGAATGTGCAAGTTGTTAAATGTTTTCTTTACTACTGTCGAATTATTTAAATGTATTGTATACATTTGTTAAACGTTTTGAATGTGTTATATTTTCATGGCATTACATTTGCAAAATTGTTTTTTTATTTTATTTATGAAAGCTAAAACATTACTAGCGAAGGCTTGACTTGGAAACCTATAGATTATGCAAATTATTAATTTTAATATTTAAAAATTTGACGACGCCGGTAATACAATTTAATTGGACGAACCGCTATGGATTGAGATTTGTAACTGAGATTTGTAACTCATTGTTATTTTTGCAAACCATGCGCAATATTTATAAGTCTGCATTTTTACAAATCAACTTTTTTATGCCAAAAAGTCAACTCCTTAGGGGACATTTGGCTTCTATTCATTACATGTTAACCGGATCTAATTTTGACGGGATATTTTGCTCCTATTCATTACATATATCTTTGTCGAAAAAAGGGTGCTATGAAAAAAAAAGTATTAATTGGAGCCTAGGGACAAAAATCTGTTAAAAATTTACAACCTCATTTTGAGAAAACTTGATATTTTCCTAACTAAACGCAAAGAGATGAATAAAGATTTAGTTCAAGAATGTACTAATGATGGTTTGCAAACGTTTGAATGTACCACGATGGTTTGCAAAGAATGTAATATGATAGATTAAATTTTTGCAAATTTTTAAAATGGTTTTTATCAATTTATTATACTTTTATGAAGTTACTAATAAGAGATATATTTTATTATTCTTAAAATACCAGGTGCAATTTACATAAAACTTAAAATATTTAATTTGTTTATATCACTATTTAAAAATCGATTAACTTCTTGAAAACTCTTGTTGGTTTAGAAAACACTAAAACTATAAAATCAATAAAAAAATTTTAGCTGAAAAACCTTTTCATTTTAGAAAAATAACAAACTAATAATAAAATTTCAATAACGAGTAAAGAAAATTAAAAATTATGCAAAATAGTAAAATTGTTTTCTTTTTTTTTCCCAAAACTTAAGAAACTTTAAAAAATTTACTTTAAAAAATCTATAGTCTATATGATATACAACTTTAAAATCAGCCTATTATCAATAATCAATAGCATTTCTTTGTTTTCTTAATTTTATATTAAATATTCTTATTAATTCTTTACAACGCGGCATTGGTTAAGTCAATCTATGAATTTAAAATCAACCACTGATCAGCATTATTAATAATTCCTTTCAGTCGGATGTCGTAGTCGAATTGCTTTTAATAAGGTTCAGGTCTAGTGACTTAGCTAACCGTGTACTAATAAGTTAGGATGTATGTTTATGTTTATTATTCTACTGAAATTTTAATCTTAAAATTTCAGCAGAATAATAATCATTTAATTTAAGGGGGAAAACCCCTCACAAAATTATTTTCTAAAGTAAAGCATTAATGAAGTTATTACATGTTCCAAATAAAAGTACACTAAATTTTAAGATCTATCAATAAAAATGGCACTCCGTTGCCATGGTAACTAAGGAAAACTGTCAAATTAGTCTCTTCACCCTGGCAAAGATTGCAGTCAGTTAGAATAATACTTTCAGTTGATTTTTTTCCAACTTATAGTAAAAAGGTAGATCTATGCAATAAGCGGACAGTTTTTGAAAATAACTTTTCTGTCAGGTGGTAGGCCTGTTTAATTTTTGAAAATGATAAACGTTTCTTTAATTTCTTTAGTTAAAAAAACGTTTTTAAAAATTTATCTGTCCATTGCAAAAATCTTTATGAGAGGAATACTCCCTGAAAATCTCATCAAAATCGGTCAAGCGATTCTCAAGATACTTCTGCCGGGAGATAAAAAACACGCGTTCTGAGAAAAATGCCAAATAAGTTGAAATTATAACGAAAAATATAAAATACAAAGAATATAGTATAAAAAGAGCATATTGATAGTATTTTTTAATCATGAACACCAGCCCCATACATATTCCCTTTTTTTTTGTTCAAATTTGTCAAATTTTTTATGCTTGTGGCTTCTTAAAATCTTCCTTTGTTTCTTGATGGTGTCTTGATTTTTATACGCCGACATCCTAACTCGTCTCTGGTTCAAGTAATTGCATCCAGAAATGGTATGTTGCCCTAGTATCTTTAAGTCTTTCAAATATAATAATACTATAAATATGAAGATCTCATACTTTCAAGGTTGCCACAATTTTGCTTATTGCATATACCAAAATAATTTTGAAATCGATCAATTGTAGCATTTGTTAAACCACCTTTACCATTTAAGCCCTTGATTTATTTTTTCAATTGTCTACAACAAGATCCAATGCGCTTTTGAAAATGTCCGATACAATCCAGTTTAATTACTTGTAAATGTTTTTGACATTAGTGTAGCTTTTGCTATCACTATCACCCAAGTATTCTGTGTACCGTAAATTAAATTTCTGCAAAGAACAAATATCTTTATTGCCCCAACTGTTTCCATTCCACCGGGATCCATCATAGTTTTTATGGCAAATGTGTGGTTTTTTTTTCTGTTGCTGTTTGCCGCTGCTTTGAATTAACAACATCTTGATTTTTGTCACATATTTTACATTTTATAGATAATGCTTCAACATCTAAAACCTTCCCATTTTTAATTGATAATGCTGCAGTCACCCCATTGTGTGAACTATGTCCCCTTTTTGCCATGTTCCATCAACAAAAACTCCAGTATCTACAATCTCATTAGGAGATTTGCCTTTTTTGAGTTCTTGTGCAGCTTCATTCATTATTTCAATAGCAACAGTTTGTGCTGCAGTTGTAAATTTTTGAACAATAACATTATAGCTTTTATTGCATAATTCTTTTTGGATATTCATTAGGATATTCATAATTTCTAAATCAATAAACCTGTAGCCACTAACACTTTTTGAGTTTCCACTTGGTACCATTACTTGCTTCACTTTTTTTTTGATGCACTTTTAAATAAACTTTCACTTTCAATATTTACAGAATCTATCATATTTCCATCATTACTATTTACATTATTTACAGCAACATTTACATGTTTTGTATGCTTTCTTAAACGAGAAAATGTACATTTACATTTTTGAAGACGTTTTATAAAAAGTTTAAATCTATGACTATAATACTTTGTATTAGACTTGTCCATTTTCTTTAATTAAAACTCGAGTAGAAGCTTGAAAGGATGACTAATTTTAGCACAATGTGTCAAATATGTGGTTTTAATACATGGCTTAAGGGACAGTGAAAAGCATTTGAAACTAAACTGCAAAAAAAACCCGGAAAAAAAAGGTATACTAGATGTGTTTTATTAACAGTTTTTTTTGTAACTAGAGGCGTTGCTAGGTAATTTTTAACTTAGGTAGTAATACAAAAATGTCATTTATTAACATAAAAAAAAGCTATTTTTGAATAAAATTTTCACCATTTGATTTATTAATAAATTTACTTTTAAAATATCTCAAAAAAATATCAAAAAAAAAATTTTATTTTGAGAGGTTTTTTTTTTATTTGAAATAACTGTAAATACATCATTTAGTTAATCTTTGCCAAAAGATTCAATACACTTTCTTGGGAGCTGTCTGCAGAGCAGAGCTTTTGGTTTTTTTCTAAAAGAGCTAAATTTCCGAACATCAGTCTTTTAAAAAAAAAAGCAAAACTACGCTGTTCTGGCTAAAGAAAATTTTGACAGCCGCCTTTTAAACACAAAACAAAAGAGCTATTCTTTGAATATACAAATTCGTTAAAAATTCAGTATTGTAATATTTTTGACTTCTGCTCTTTTTAAAATTTACCGATTCATTTGTCTTTGTTGAACTCTAATCTTGAGGCATGTTTTTGATCTAATTTTTTTTACGTCAAAAATACACAGTTTTAGCTTTAATTAGTGAGTACTGCCCATTTCATATGTACGTACACAAGTTACGTATAAAAGAAAAATAAGATAAATTTTAGATAACCATATTTTTAGTTTTTTTAGTTTAATATTAGTTCTTTTAAAGAGTTTTTTAACTGGCGTTATAAAGCAGAATATGTTTGTAACACTGCAAACATTTAGAAGGCACATGTTCAAGGCGGAATGTTATTTATATAAATTAAAAGCAAATATGTTTACAGCTAATGTAAATGCTACAAATTTGCAAATGCTTTAAAAAATGTTTACATAGATAATCACTTCCTAATAATTATTAAATAAATGTATTATCAGGATATTATACTGATCCAGGTTTTCAAATCTAAAATTTAAAACGGGTTAAAATAAAAAAAAAATAAAAAACTAAAGACGCAACAAAAATAAAGAAAAAAGTTGAGAACTATAAAAAAAGGTATATATCTTTGCATAAGATTAAAGCTTTACCTGTTTACAAAACATTTTTTG